CTCCAAACAGATCCAACACCTCCCCAGCGCCTTTTTTCCCCAACACCTCATTATAACAACTTCTACTTTTGGTGCCCCTTTACTAATTTGATCATGAAAGCTAAGCAATTTAGTATGTGAATGCTCTAGCCTGCCTGTACTGGTTGGGGTAAAGAAGTGCCACATGCTTGCAGCTGACCTAGGATCTTCGGGAACCATGACATTGAAGATTGAGAGCTGTGCTCTATTGATGGTTCAGATTCAGATATGGTATTGCCGGCTGTGGTGTGATTCTCTTAAACGGTGAAAATCTCTAGGTAAAATTCCAAAAACACACAAAAAACAAACCAAAAATACAACTTCCTTTGAGTCACCTGGTAGTTGCATTCCTGGAAAATTCAGTGTATCTGGGCCTGTTATAGTAAATGGCCAATAAGCATTCAAGGAATAAATTAATTGAAAAATAGAACACGTTTTTACATGTGATTGTAAAGCCCAGATAATAAGCAGGTTTTTCATACATGGGGGGAGGGGGGGGGGGAGAGAGAGGCAGGCAGAGAGAGAGAGAGACAGAGAGAGTCTCTGTGTGTAGGCAGGGGACCCTGGCCCTCAGCTCCTAAATACCTGTAGTGACTCCATCATTGGAACAACCAAAAATAGCCCTATTAATTTCCAAAATTTCTAGAGGCATATTGCCTTCTTTGAGAACCACTTTTTTAGAGAGTGAGGAGTTGCTGATCTAATGACCAGGGGAGGAAAAAAAAAACCCAGAATCCACAACTGGCCCTTCCCCTTTCTCGGAAAACATGAGACTGGAGAAAAACGAAACTTAGGACGGGAAATCCCCTTTTCTAACCTGGAACAGCGCTTTCTGCCCAGAGACTAGTGACCTGCCACCACGGGCTCGCGTTTTGATTGGGCAGTTGAGAAACTAAAATAGCGGGTTAAAAGGAGGGGAAAACCCCAGGGCTCTCCACCGTGGGGTCGGTGGGAAGACGCGCCGCGACTCCCGCTTGGTGACCTTGGCTCTGTTCTTCGCTGGGCGCCGCCGCCAACCTGGGCGTGTTCACGGTTGAGTACCCTCTCCCGCGCCGCCCCCTCCTTCTGCTTCTCCCTGTCTATCCACAGGCTCTCCCTGGCCCTGCAGCTCCTGGTTCCTCCTGCCCGGCCCAGTGTAGCCAGGCATTCGGGTTCGGCTCGCTTAGACTCCGTCCAGACCGGACGGCAGAGGAGAGGCCGGAAAGTGGCGCGCCGCTGGAACGCACGCTTCCTGGTCTCTTCTCGCTGGATAGCTACCCCGGCAGGACTAAGCTCGAGGGGACAAAATATCTAGGTCATTGATGAGTTGGGGTCGGGGGTGGTGGGCACTGCTTTCTGGGGCTGCCCTGTTGCCTCCCCAGGGTTCTCTTTCCCTAGCCGCAGAGCGAAGGAGGGGCAGGCCCGTCACGAAAGGCAAATACTTGCGGGGAGTAATCCAGTGAGAGGCAGGTGTGTCTGTGGGGTCCAAGACAAGTATTACTTCGGCAAGTAGGTCTGAGCATCTGGCGGAGCGCTGAGCACCACGCCCTTCCATGATTCCTCCCATTTCCCTCTAGGGTTCCACCTTTCCCCACCAGGTTCTAGGGCTGTGTCTAAATCTAGATGGTCTCATACTGCTTTGTGTAACATTTCTATGGCAGCTTATGCATTTGTTTTTGTGAATGCTTTATTGAAATATAACTTATAAACCATACAATTCATCTGTTTAAAGTATACAATTCAGTAGATTTTAGTGTATTCACAGAGTTGTGCAACCATCACTTCAATTTTCGAACATTTTCATCACCCCTAAAAGAAGCCCTGCACCCAGTAGCAGTCACTCCTCATTTCTCCCCATCCTCCAGCCCTAAAGAACCACTAATCTTTCTGTCTCTATGGATTTGCCTATTCTTGATATTTCATATAAATGGAACCATACAGTATGTGGTGTTTTGTGATTGGCTTCTGTCACTTAAAATGATGTTTTCAAAGATCATCCAAATTATAGCAACTATCAGCACTTTATTCCTGTTTATTGTGGAATATTCCACTGTATGGATTATACCACGTTTTCTTTATCCATTCGTCAGTTAATGAGCATTTGGGTTGTTTCCACTTTTTGGCTGTTATGAATAATACTGTTATCAACATTCATGTACAAATTTTCGGTTGTGGACATAAATTTTCAGTTCTTTTGGGTATATACCAAAAGTGGAATTGCTGGGTTATATGGTAACTATATGTTTAGCCTTTTGAAGAACTGCCAGACTGGTTTCCAAAGCTGCCACACCATTTTATATTCCCACCAGCAGTGTATGAGAGTCCCAACATTCTACATTTTCACCAACACTTGTTATTATCTATCTTTCTATTATAGCCATCCTAGTGGGTATGAAATGGTATCTCATTATGGCTTTGATTTGCAGTTCCCTAATGATGACCAATGATTTAAAAATTATTTCAAATATATTTAAATTACAGAATAATTGTTTTTTTTTTAAAGATTGGCACCTGAGCTAACAACTGTTGCCAATCTTTTCTTTTTTTTCTGCTTTTTCTCCCCAAATCGCCTCAGTACATAGTTGTATATTTTAGTTGTGGGTCCTTCTAGTTGTGGCATGTGGGATGCTGCCTCAAGGTGGCCTGAGGAGCTGTGCCATGTCCGTGCCCAGGATCCAAACCGGCGAAACCCAGGGTGACTGAAGCGGAGCGGGCGAACTTAACCACTCCGCCACAGGGCTGGCTCCATACAGAATAATTTTTTTTTTTAAGATTTTATTTTTCCTTTTCCTCCCCAAAGCCCCCCGGTACATAGTTGTATATATATAGTTTTTTAGTTGTGGGTCCCTCTAGTTGTGGCATGTGGGATGCCACCTCAGCATGGCCTGTCGAGTGGTACCATGTCCGTGCCCAGGATCCTAACTGGCAAAACCCTGGGCTGCCTAAGCAGAGCGCATGAACTTACCCACTCGGCCACTGGGCCGGCCCCCAGAATAAATTTTTAAAAGGATTAATATGCTGAGGTTTTGAGAACTTTGTCTAGGTCACATGCCCAAAAGTCATAGAGTCTAGACTCAAACCAAGTCTCTCTATGGCGAGTGCTTGAACTCTATCCCCTCTTTCCTAGAACAGAATCTGGGATAAAACTCTCAAAACTTCACTTGCTGCCTCTATGAGAAAGGGAATCTTGGGCAAGATGAACCTCTGTGTAGACTGATTCATTTCTTATTTGCTATAAGAAACTCAAATGTGCAAAGAGCTTTTTGGTCTCTCCATTTTCACTTTGTAAAAAATAAGTGTTTCCTTGAGATCCTCACAATGGATCTTGGATGAATCTGGCTCTCATACACCCTTTCTCGGTGTTTAATGACTGTGCTTCTCTTCATGTCAGTGCCCCTTGGGTTTGTCCTTCCCCTCACTACCACCAGGACATGAAATGAGGAGGGACACAAAGTTTAAATTTTGATTAAATGCATAACTATCAAAAATTCTGAGTACACATTTTTCTCTATATATCTATACACTTTATATTACTATCAAGCTTATTTTAAATATTACTAAAGCTTAATTTTTCTCTCTTCTTTTTTTTCAGTTAAAAATTCAGATTGAGCTGTCTCATAAGTGGCTCCCAGTAGTCTCACTCCCCAACCCCGGGGGAGCATAGGAGTTGTGGAGGTGGAGACAGGACTGGAATCAGAATCAGAGTTCAATATACGGGAGAAGTTGGGCTCTACATTCTTATGTAAGAATCACATCAGAGAGTGACTGACCCACAGCTGTGAGACACTGAGGACTTTGACACTCACTGTAAACTCTGGCACGGGTCACTTGTTTCTCTGAAGGCTGGATCCAAAAAGCACAATGAATACAAGAATGGGCTATGGTAGCATGGTGAATTCCAGACAAGCCCGAGAATTCCATACAGCTGGAGAAAGAGGCCCAACTCCTCAGACAGTCTTGGAAGCAGAACTGATAGAACTTGGGGAAAGTGATGAAGTAGTTGACCTCACCTGTGAATCTCTAGAACCTGCAGTGATTGACCTAACTCACCAGGACTGTGTTGTGATTACTGAAGAAAGGAGGCGGCCAAGGGGAAACACAAGGTCACTCCAAGGCCAAACTGGCAGCTGTGTGGTGAGCAGTGATAAGGAATTGATGAGGGACAGAGATGTATATGTGACCCACAGTGCCTACCATAATGCCCTGGAAGAAGAAACTTTAAGTTGCACACTACCTGGTTATATCCAGTGTCGAATTTGTATGGATGGGTACTCGGAGATTGAATTGAGTAGACGGCACATCTACTCTACAGACTGTGGCCACATCTTCTGTAGTCAGTGCCTCTGTACTTCCCTTAAATATACTAAAACTTGCCCAGTTTGTTTGAAAAAAATTGGCTGCCGTCAGTACCATCGTATTTATTTATGATGTGTACTGTGTTGCTCAGGACGGACAGAACCCCCAGCTGGACTTTCCCATGTCCTTGTGGAGAAACTATGGATTGCTGGCATCCAATGCGCTGAGCTCAGAAAGCCTGATTTAAAAAATTGCTCTCTGGAGTATATTAAAAATGCTTTCATTTCTCACACACGATGAGACTGCTTTTTTGATGCCTTTGCTTTCATGCTGCAGGGCTGGACTTTGGTTGTCAGTGTGCCAGAGACTGGTGGTTATCCTCAAAGCAATTTTTCCTTTCTTTTTCATAGTAATCAATTTTTAATTGGCCACATGTGGGCATTTTGGATCATGTAAACAAATAAGGGCAACATCCTAGATGGGGTACATGGAAGGAAGCTGGGAGACTGACAAGTTTGCAAACCAGAGCCACCATGCAAGTTTGGACTGTTACTTGAGAGATAAATAAACTGCATTCTTGTTTAAGCAACTATTATTCTGGATCTTGTTGAGAGCAATGGAATCTTTATTTTAGTTAATGGACCAGGAAGGGTGTTGTCTCTGGGTTTCTCTGGATTTCCTTATTCCACTGGAGTAGAAGGAAGTCAGTCCTTTCTGACCACCTCTACCAACCAGCAGGGTGGAGGTGGGTATATGGGCAGGTGCCATGTCCTGCTGGGACTCCTAGTGGACTTTGAGGCCAGTCCGAGGAGTTGCCTAGGCACACTGGAATCTAGAGTTGTGGTTCTGTACTTTCTGACCTGTCAGGCCAGAGGGGGCTGCCTTCACCCTGGCTTTACAGGTGTGCCTGCCTTCCACCACACTGGTAGTTAATCCACAAGTTGGCATGCTTCTCTGTGAACAGACATATCACTGCATTGCCATCCCAGCTGCTCAAGCAGCCTGGCTGAGTCACCGGCCTTGAGAAGACCTCCTCACCACCCTCCCACACACACACACTAGCTCTTTTTTCTTTTGTAGAGAATCACATAGCATTCACAGTTCAGCCTGCATGTTAGAATCGGAGAGGACGTGATTTCTATGGTGCTTTCTCCCTTTCCCTCTGAATGAAATGAGTAAAACTTGTCCCTTACTTACAATGGTTGTAGCAGTGTTGCTCTCTTCCATGGAGGCTCAGCTGTGCCAATGGAACGGCGCCCATCCCCACGTTATGTCTGTCTCCACACTGCATTCTCTGGAATGTCTCATACCACAGACCTCAATTGCTTGACTTGGCACAGGATATACAAGATAAATGTGGTATACTCCCTTCTGTGGGTTCTTTTGTATGTTCCAAAATGAAATGAGAAAAAAGAACATGAAAATGAAAAAAAAAATTCTAAATATTATCTTTCTACATTTCAATAGATCATCTTGTGCATCCCACTTTGGAGACTATTAATTTCTCTGTGACATAGCACAGTGTATTACACACTTGGCTAACGATCAGAACACCTGAAGTGCCTATTAAATACAGATTCAGCTACTGTATGTCTTGTCTGTGTGATCAGGATAAAGAGCATACTCTCTCCAGTTCACCAGCAGCCTGCAACACTCCCTATCGTATTCTACCCAGTCCACTGCATATTGACCTTACCTGCCAAGCTCATGTGGACATTTGAGGGTTTTTTTTTGACATTTGAGGTTTTGATCTCTGTTTTAGGGGAAAAAAATAGAGAGGATTGTGACTTTTTAAAAAAAAATAGATAAATTTTACAGACAGCAAAATGCACTGATCTTAAGTGTATAATGAGATGAGTTTGGGCAAATATATACTTACATGTGACCCACACCCCAATTAAAATATAGAACAATTCTATCATTCCAGAAAGTTCCCTTATGTCCTGTTCTAGTCAATCCCTATCCCCCACAGGCAACCACTGTTTGGATTACTATCACCATAGATATGTTTGGGGACACTAACTTTTACTTCATTGTCTAGCCCAGCTCATCAGGGAGGAAAACTTGACAGGAATTTGGAGTATAAGCACTAGGCAGGGTTCAAGGATTTGTTTAGTGGGAGCATGACTTATCTGTCTTAACAATTGAAGCAAGAAGGCATTAATAATGACATCTGCTATTTATTAAGCAATAGCTGTGTTTCAGGCACAGTACGAGGCACTTCACACATCACAGGCAGTCAGGGTATATACCTAGGCAAGAGCAGGAACCCAACAGGATGTAAGAACAAAAGTGAGTTGCCACAGGGCACGTGAATGTGAATAATTTGACCGACTGCTGTGCAGGGCTATGGAAAGAAGTGAGAACTAAAGCTAGAAAAGAAGATTGAGGCCACACCGTGAGTACAGTATTGTGTGCTGTGTTATGGAGTTTAGACTTTATTCTACAGGTGCTAAGGAGCCATTAAAGGCTCTGGAGGAGTACCTTCAGAGAAAGATTCTTAAGGATTCAGGATGCTTTCAGGGAAGGCTAAAGATCCTGTTTGAAATTTGGGGGTGGGGGGTGGGATATGGAGGTGGAATTAGGAAGGAAAGATCCTGGTGTTGATTTTCCTCTTAAAATAGAAGTGAATTTTATGAAATGTATAAGAAAAAGGATGAAACATTCTTGGTCTGAGAAATTTGCTCCTGCACTGGTCCTCTCCTGCCCTCAGAGGTCTAATCGTTTCATTTCAGCACAGCCAGCAGAGCCGTGCAAGCCTTTTAAGCTGTGGCAGCTCCTGGGAGATCGTTGTTCTGAGGTGGCAATGACAGGAGTCCAGGGGGACAACTGTGGCAATTTGGATTTAGCTTTCGGGTACCTTTTTGGAAAGGTGGAGGCTCATTTGGCCAGAGTAAAAATGGGATTAGGAGAGGTGGACAATCAAATTTATCCCCTTGATGCCTGATCTAGTTTCAGACCAAGTTAGCCCCACAGTGAGATAATCTGGCAGTTTTCACTTGTCGTTTCCTGATGTTCTCTGAAGTTACAGCAGAGAATGAGAGCCAAATTTATTTAGCTGTAATGTCTGGATTTCATCAACCACAGATTGAAACTAAGCTGTTCAAGATAGGGGTTAAGAGAGACAGAGTGAAGGAGTCAGATCCACCTTTGAGCAAGGATGGGTCTTTCTATTGTCTGGTCTACACTGAATTCATTCCTCATGCAAATGTCAAGTGCACCTGCCAAGAGAAAGAAGTTATTCTCCAACGACCTAAAATTGTTATGAGGGATAAACTTTTAGGTCCTTTCCTTAGCCACGTCAATTAGGTCCTACGGATTTGATATTAAAATCTGCATACTGGGATGGTCAGGGAATGTTATTAAAGCTCTCATTGGTGGCACCTTCTGTGAGACCTCTGCACAGCGTGGTCTCCGAGACAGTAGTTTCCCTGCAGTGAGAGCAGGGAGCAGCAGCAGCGCTTGCACAAATGCACACGCACTCCCAAGGCGTCTTACTTACTGGCTTCCTTGGGCTTTCAGGACAGCCTCACAGATACTTAGGACCAGTGAGAGCCTCAGGAAGGCACAGGCCTTTGTCTGTAAGCCCTGCTATCCTAGCACCCTACCATCCTGGACTCCTCTAGTAACCTCTGGCTGGGCTGGGATCTGAGGCTAGCAGGCAGGAGGGACCTACTGGGTAGTTCTAAACAAGGTATTCCTGGGTGGGACAGCAGGCTCCTCTGCCAGCCTCACTTATAACAGTTTTACACACTGTTAATACGTAGTATTTTGAAAGCAAAACATGTTGTTTTCTTCTTCTTTCATCTCCAGTTTCATGGCATTATGCAGGTGGGTTTCTGACTTTGACAAAAGCTTTTTGTTTCACTATCCAGGGACTATTTACAGCTCTAACATAATACCCCTCACTGTATGGGGGATAATAATCAGGGTAGCAGCCCCCTTAGCTTTCAGCAGGCAAAAAGATTCTACGGGGCATACTCTCTTCTGCTGTGGAGTGGCATGAAGAAGGCACGTGACCCCAGGTGTGGCTCTGCCCACATCACTGACTCTCTAAAGGGAGAGCAGAGGGGCTGCCGGTGTGGTGTGACAGGACAGAGGCAGTCAGTTACCCACACCACTTGGCTTCTCTGCCAAGAAGAGAGCCTTTAGAGGAAGAACTTCTCTTCCTTTCCTCCGAACCAGCCCAAGCCACAGAAACAGCAACTGCTCTATTCTCCAACCAGAGGAGAGAAAGTGCAGTGCATTGCTGGGCACGGGCCACTCCTTAATTCACCCACTCATTTGCTCATTTACTTGGTACTTACTAAATTTTGCTAGTGTGGTAGGCTTGTGTAGTTCAAAAGATGAACAAGACAGTCCTTTTCTCCAAGAAGCTCACAGCTAGTGGGAAAGAGATGTGAAAAGAAATAGGAATAATACAATGAAAAAAATAATGCAGTGCAATAAAAGCTATGACAAATATCTGCTGGGTGCTGCCGAAGCATAAAAGAGTAAATAACTCTGACTTCTCAGTAACTTCCTTAGAGTCTGGAAGATGGGAAATTGAACTTTTACTTTATATTCAGCTCCATTGGAGTCCTTAAAGATTAATAACTACTTATATCTCTTGTTATAGTTCAAGATAGAAAGTTAATTTGAGGAAGCAGAAGTTTTGTAAACTATTTACTATAGCAGTGTTAGTGCAATAACAATGATAACAGCTATTACCGTTTATTGGGTGCTCACTATGTGCCAGGTACTGTTAAGCACTTTACATACATCATCCATTTAATCCTCACAACAATCTTATGAGGTAAATATATTTTTAAATTTTTTAAAACATTGCCACCCCCCCCTTTTTTTTTTGAGGAAGATTAGCCCTGAGCTAACATCTGTTGCCAATCCTCCTCTTTTTTTTTTTTTTGCTGAGGAAGACTGGCCCAGAGCCAACATCCATGCCCATCCTCCTCCATCCTATATGTGGGACGCCTGCCACAGCATGGCTTGCCAAGTGGTGCCATGTCCGCACCCAGGATCTGAACCGGCGAACCCCAGGCTACCAAAGCGGACCATGTGCACCCAACCACTGTGCCACCGGGCCGGCCCCCTAATGAGATAAATATTATTGTCTCTATTTTATATATGATAAAATTGAGGCTTGGAAAAGAAAAGTAACTTTGGTTTATGACTTTGTTTTTGCTTTTTTTCCCTACCAATTATATGGTAAAACTAGGTATGTGTAGTTTCTTAGACACCACTGTCCACTGCTTCCCTCCAGCTTTGTTTTTAAAGAGTACACTAAAAACCTGAACTGCCCCTTCGTGAAATTTGGGACCTCTTGCCATAGAGGTTTTGGAATCACAAACTTTAGAGGTGGAAGGGGAGTCTTAGGAATTCACATTTTACAGATGGAGGAACTGAGGCCCAGAGAAGTTAAAGGTCTTAGCCAGGGTTACTCAGTGCTGTGGTGGAGACAAAGCTTCTGTCTTTTAGGCCAGGATTCTCGCCACTGGACTGAAGGCTTGAGAATGTGCTGACTCGAGGATTTAGTACAATTGTCTTTACTAAATGTTGTTAAACATTGTAGCCAGCAACAAAAATATTCAAGATAAGTTTTTTACTTAGGGACATAGTTTCTAGGTGATCATCAGCATTTCATAGCCATTTATCTGACAAGGAATTTGACTCAATGAATGCCATGTACTGTCAAGGTGAGAAAGACACCAAGGTGAGAAACAGCACTACCTAGCAGTTGTTCGCAATTTAGTGAAAGGGCAGACATGCAATCAAATAATTAAAATAATCATGTACAGGCATGTACAAAGATCTGGGGTGCTAATAGAAATGTATAAATCTGTGGTTATTAACTGGGAGTGCGTCCCACCCCTATGCCCTCAGCATATATTTGGCAATGTCTGCAGACATTTTTGATTGTCACAAACAGTGGGGTGCTACATCTAGTGTGCATCTAGTGAGCAGAGGCCAGAGAAGCTGTTAAGCATCCTAAAATTCACAGGACAGTCCCCACAACAAAGACTTGCTAGCCCAAAATGTCAGTAGGGCTGAGGTTGAGAAACTGCTGGCAAAATATTTTCTACAAAGGATGGGGGAGGGAGGGTAAAGCTTGGGGGCATGGTTATGGAAGAGTTTACTGAAGAGATAATGATTGGGGTTGAGGGAGCGAGGATCCCAGCAGAAGGCACAACATGGGCAAAGCCACAGAAGCATGGCATATTTGGGTAATCCCAAACACCCAAGGAAGAGTTGTGGGCATTAAGGCTGGACAGCTAGGCAGGAGCTAGACATTCAAGAAAATATACTGAGTTAGAGAAATTACTGTAAGAAAAGCTGTTTGGTTCTGTGATGGCTATTTATAGGTCACTCAGGAGCACAGTCTAGGTATGTATCTCTGTGAGCTAAAGCTAAAACTGCTGAAGAAAGCTGTTTGAAATGAGGCTTTCCTGATCTTGCATCCTTAAGGCCTAGAGTTTTCCAGGCATTTGTTACTTTCTCAAAGATATAGTTGGGGCCATTTCAGTGGAATGTGAGCTCTGAGAGGTGGAATTGTTCTCTGTGAAAGACACTTAGCTGATGTCTCAATGCTGTGATGGGATCACGAGCAGAGATGAGGTGGTGATTTCTCATGCGTTAGGCTTATAGGCTGCTCATGATGTTTATTTCCTCTTTTGTAAGCACCCTAGTCCAGAAACTGGAATATGTGAACCTTAAGATTAGACTGCCACCTCAATCCTAAATGAGGTGCCTCCCTCTATACCCACAAACAAGGGTGGGCAGGTAGGCCATTCCAGTCAGTATTTCTCTTTCTCTTAAGCTAATGATGATCAAAGCAACTGACAAACTGTCACGGAATCTACCAGACCTCACTCTGGCCTTGCCCCTTCTCCCCAGCTTCTGAACTTTTCCTCCTTCTCTCATGCTCTGAGCCCATTCTTAGCAAACAACAAGGTCTTAGATTGCTGGTCTGCAGCCATCCTGGGCCTGTTGAGCTCTGGTTCAAGTGCCTGCCTCTGCCCCCTGGTGGCCTGATGATAGAGCTTAATGGAGGTGAGTTTCCCTTTTCTAAGTCAGCTGATTTTTCTAGGCATAATATAGAAAGCCCAATCATAGAAAAGGTTAAGGATTTTAGAGGATGAAAGGAAATTCAGGGAAATATTTAACTTGTGACAGCTTATAGCTTCTATAGTCTCTCCAGGCCTTGGAACAACTGAGAATATTAGATAAGAGAGGTTGGTAGGAAAGTAACGAAACTCACCATAAACTTTTGAGAAAAATTAAACTAAATGCTATACAAAAATTTACTTTCCTTATTAATGTAATCACTTTCTTTTAGATTGAAAAAATTTATTATATATAACTTGGTTTTCTCATTATACTCTCACATTTGATAATTTGTAT